GCTTGGGCCCTGTATTTCGGTGGCTGAGTTCGTTGCCAGCTCGGCTGCCAGGGCCTCCTCGACCGCTTGTGCGAGGTTGAGGTCTTTTTTTGCTAGAAGGCGCCTCTGTAGGTTGTGGTCCTTGACCCCACAAACTAATTGATCGAGGAGCATGTCCTCCAGGTATGTTCCAAACCCGCAGTGCAGAGCTGCTGTTCTGAGGGCGGCCATATATTGATTGATGGTCTCCTTACTCGATTGCTTCCTCATACGAAAAGTGAACCTCCTGGCGATCTGTGAAGGTCTGGGAGCGTAGTGGTTAGTGAGGATCTCAAGCAACTCGGACCACGGGACGTTTTTCAACTCTCTAGGAGCTACGAGTGCTGTGGCAGTATCGTAAACGGTGGCTCCGCAGTAGATTAGGAAATAGGATTTTTTCCGATGCTCTCCCGCATCTGCCAGGCCGACCGCATCGATGTAATGGTTGAAACGGTTCTTATACGATTCCCACTTCTCTTCGTCTGGCTTGAACGCCGGGAATACTGGGTTGGAACTCATGGTGCTGGGAGCGGCTGGGCTACCTGTGGAAAAAATCTCTCTGGGGACAACGGGCGCTCATGGGTTGCAAGTGAAATCAGCTCTGGAGAGGGTTTTTTGCTATCCTCTCTTTCTCTCTGGGTTAACCACGTTGGCTGTTAGCCGTTGGAGGTGTCTAGATTCGCGCCAGCGTGGGCGTTAGTGACTTACTACAGCGCTGTGCTGTGTCTCTCTTGGTTTGAAATTCAAATGACACCCGTTTGAATTTCGCGCCTAATACTGAGCGACTGCGGCTCGCAGCGCTTCGCTTTACCCGTAGCTGGGCTAACAAGCGGCTACAGACGCTTCTAACTTTTGAACCAGACCGCTCTCTCTGGCTGCGGATCAACGTTCGCTCTTTTTGTCAGCTGGCCGCTCTCTCTGGCTGCGGTCAGCGTTTCTCTTGTAGTCGGCCGATCGCTCTCTCTGGGTTGCGGATCGGTGACTAGTGACTCAGCAGTTGCATGGTGCTTCTGGTAGCCATCCCATCCTCGTCGCCAGTGTTAAGTTTGAGCAATGAGAGGCTGAACCAGAGCATGAGCGCAACAATACTTTATTATAACAATAAAGGGCTGACCGTGCTTGCCACGCCTGGAACTGGCTCGCAGCAATCAGCAACTGGTTGGACCCTGCAGCCTGCTTTTATAGCTGGCTGCTGGGGGGAATCAACCAATGAGGAAAAGGGTAATAACGCCCACACAAAGTGAGTGGACCTGAATGAGAACTCCTAGAGTCCTCAGGACATAACAAATATCTTAAAGGTCATTCCTCCGTTTTTTTTTTTTACATAGGAGGGAATGTCTCTTTTAAAGATATGGCTAATAAATTAAGATTTAAAAATGAAACGTTTTTTCAGATCTATTTTTATTTGCATGGATGATATGTATACACATTTAATTTAAAAAAAAATCAACTGTAATAATTATATATGTTCAGTAACTATTTAATAGAAGAAGAACACTTTTCCTGTCGACTGTTGAAGAGATTGATCTAGCACTTCTTGATTAGCTTATATTATAAGACATCTGTTGGGGAAAGTTTATGAGCTTCTATTATTGAAGCTCATAAACTCTGAAGGTGCCTTAAAAGTCATCTAATCCATTGTTTCTCAGCCTTGGCAACTTAAGATATCTCAACTTCAATTCCCAGATTTTCCCATTCAGCATGCTGATTACAGAATTCTGGGAACTGATATCCACACATCTTAAAATTGCTAAGGTTGAGAAACCATGATCCAGTCAAACTCTTTTCAGTGTGAAATCTACAATTGTACTATTTCCAATGGCTGCTCAGCCTCTGTTTAAATACTGCAGTGAGTCTCTTCACCCCATTTTTAGGGTACTTGTTGCAATGTTGAGCAGCTTTTACTGCTTTCTTATAACATTATGAAATTCACCTTTTGGGTTTTTTTTCCCCATTGTTGTAAACCTTGTTCTTCTGAAGCAAGAGATTGGGTCGGTTAGCAATTATATTTTTTTGCTAAAATATAGGACTCCTTAAACTATTTCAGTTGTTTCATCCATTCCTCATAGGTTTAATTCCATTCCTTTATTTTCAACCTTTTCACCATCTTTGTTGCTTTTTTTGAGAAATATTATATGAAAGTATATGAGTATATGAAAATTGTTTTTAAAATGTGTTCAGAAGTAGATACAAAATCTCAAACATGTTCTGATTAAAATCAAACAAAAATATTCTGAATTACCTGCACTTAATCCCAACTGAAGTACATTAATACTTTTAGCTATTGTGTCACACTGTTTAATTACATTCAAGCCAGACTTTTCCAGTCTACTGATCTTCATTTGCTTCAGATGCTTCAATTTGTTAAGATACTTCTGAATGTACAATCTGCTTGTTAAATTTTCAAACTTGGCCTTTCCCATCATAGTCTAACATCTTAGCCACTAAACCACGTTGCCTTTCTTTGCTGTATTTCAATCATGCATTTTATCCCTCAAAGTCAAAAAGGTGCCTGTAATATCATACAAGATATATTGTAGTTGACAGTCAATTTTTTTCAGTTTGATCCCTACATACTGAAGGTTAAGATGCTCAGACTGTGAAGATCCTATTATTATGTACCCAAAAATGAAATCACAGCTGCTGGTTCTTTAGCTGGTGGTGGTTTTCATATGCATTGAGTGTTATTATTATGGTTCATTGAACAGTAAACCAGATGTTTAGACTGGATTTGCCATTTTTATCCACCTATCTCAAATATGCACTTTCCTGGGACTGTATGACTGTGAGCCCAAGCAAAGATGCTGCTTCATTAAGAGATACTGATATAGTGGAAAGGCTGCACATCCCTCATCACAAAGTAATTTATGTGAAGTGCCATGTAATTATAGTTATTAGTGGATCAAATGAGACAATTTATCAGTCTGTCTTAAAAGATTTTTATACACAAAATACATATGCAAAACCTACAAAGTCCTAATAGTTGAATATTGATATATTTGTATTATCACTATAAAGTTTTCCACATTTGTTTATAGATTGAAAAACTTGATCTATATAAAATAACTAATACCCTATTTTTTATTTTCAGGGAATTAATTGGGAGCCATGGAAAGGTCATTTATATTCTATCCCTTACACTGAAATGAAGATACGTCCACGTTCACATAGCTTTGAGGCAGTCCTGAGTAGAAAACGGAGATCTCTTGCTGTGAAGGGGAAGGAGACTAAAGTTTAAAAGTCTTCTGGAAATGCTGTGTTTGCCAACACACAGCAATGCATGATCATGTAACAGTGTGTCAGGCCTTTTATGCACATTTTGATATAAATATAATCATATCAGTTATTTCAAGCCTTCCTTAGAAATATTTTCTGGTTTGATTTGTTGGGAACACCACAAAATATGCATTACATCTGTATCACTTGCATTAATGTGTCTGCATTACTTATAGAAAAAAGCTACAGATTCTCAGATACATTCTCAAGTGGTGGAGGAGGTGCTGGTGCTGGTTAAGCTCCCTGTGACCATAATGGCTGCTTAAGGTTGAGAACCCTGTTCTGGTTTTCATTATCCCTCTGTATATGATAGCAAAGTGACTTATGCTACTCAGTTGCCTTCACAAGACCAGGTAGGCTCAGGCATTAAGTCAGCTTGTCTGCCTCATTGGGTGATTCAGTTTTGCAAAATCTAAAGTGAGGAACCCCAGTATTCCTTTCAGGAAGAAAAAAAATCCACCTGAGCTGTTTCCATTTCTAACAGGAATAAAATCATGCAAGTATTGTTTGGAAGATCAGTTTTTGACCTTTCATTGGTGAATCTGTCTTTCTACCATTACAAAATGTAGGTTTAATTCTGAACCTTATTGCAAGTAAAACACGTCATGAAATATTATTTCCCCCATACAAAACACTGCCCTCTTGAAATATCTCTCTCTCTCTCTTCTCTAATACACACACACACACACACACACACTCAGATGTATTTTTATTATAACTACAAAAATATTATTGATCCAGAATTACCTCAAGGTAAGATGGGCAGCCAATACATTTTAAAGTTAATTAATTAATTAAACAACTACTCTTAAATTAGATGTTCTTCAGGTATTTTGGATTTCAGATACCATTAGCATCAAGAGATTCAGTGTTGACCATAGATATTGTTATATTTTACTTTATTGGTAAAACTATATTGCCACTATTGTGTGTTATAAGACCCAGTGCTCTTTCAATTTTGCTGGCTGCTTTTGCCACATTAGAACCAACTGGATGGCATATGTGTGACACAAAGTGGTGAAAAACTTGATTTTCAATCCAGCAAGAACTATCACAGATGCGAAGGCAGAGTAATACTCTACCATTTAATTCTGCTTCTTTGTGCAAAAACCGAATGTGGCAACCATTTGTGGACAGGGCAGAAATGATGGCTGCCAGACAAACTGTTGTGTTTTGCTACCTTACCAGGGTCTGCACAGTGTTGCAGAAGTTTCTTGACATTGCAGAAGGTTTCTGCAGCATTGAGAGTAGATTTGGTTAAGGCAGCAGAACAAAGCAGTTTGTCTCTGAATCTAGGCCATATAGTAGTGATCCAATTTTGTGGATAGGAGAAAATGGTGGCTGCTTCTGGAACCATGGTATAAAGCTGCACAAAGAAGTAATGTATTTCAGTGCTCTGGATGGATTTGGTGCTTTTCAAAAAGTGAGGAGGGAGTTTGGCCTGGTGGGGAAGGAATCAGGCCTAAAGCCTGGTGTGTGTGTGTGTGTGGGGGGAGAGACCCAAAGGGGGTGGGACCCAAGGGGCAGGAGGTGGAGCACAGAGTGTTTCGGAGTGTGGAGGAACTTTGGGAGGCCAGGGCAAGTGGCCCTAGCCTGTGCTAGGCCTCCAAGGGCCTACCCAACCCATGAGGTACCCCATTTTCCACCTAAAGACCCTGGGGTTCATTTAATGACTCACTGGGGAGAGCAGGGATTGGGAGGGGGTTGTTAGGTGAGATGCTTCACCTAACAACCATTACAACATGCAACCATAGTGGGCAGGCTCCACTATGATCATATCTCAAGGACTACCTTATTGCAACCCTATTGTTTTTTATTTAGATTTATCATTAAATTCATGAGGTTTAAATTTTTTACAGTAGTAATAGATCTAGTACTGTGGGATTGTCAGTTACACCCTAGGCTTCCTCTGTGATGCACGACAATTGGACATGCATCATCCGATCAGTTTAAATCATAATATCCTTGCATGTCTTAAATTTCTTATATAGAAGACTAAAATTCATAGTCAATAAGGAATAAATTCCAAAGGAGATGGTCATTGCTTATCTACACAACATCTCCAGATTAAAGCTTGAATAGAGATCTATGATAGAAAGGGGGCATATGAGGCACAAGTAGTGTAACATTAAATTAGTGGCACAGATTATAGTGGCAATGCTGTGTTGGCATTACTTCACGAGAAATAATGTTGCATGAGTACATTAGTTTCAGAGAAAAAGAGGAGGTAGCATAATAAGTGAAGGTGGACAACTCACATGTGGCACTTAAAGCAAAGATAAGGTTACCAGACCTGGGCTTATACCACTATATGTAAAATCCATTGACAGCCAAGTCTTCTGTATCTCTTTGCTGCCATTTAATTTTGGACTAGATTTCTGCAGCCCAAATAGGGAAAACCTACTGAATCAAACAAGGGAAATGTCTAAGTTTTTAGAACAGAACATATAATTGTCATTCTGAGTTCTTTCCACTCTTAACATTGGAAAAAATATAAGAAATATTGAAGCACATATAATCTTCGTTTATCTGTTGATATTTTTGAAGTTCCATTTTATATAAAAAGGTATTTATGTTAGTTATAAGTACGATATCAAAATCAATTATTTGGCCAGTTGACTTAGCATGCTGTTCTTCAGGGCAATATAATGGTAAAAAGTCATAGCATATTAATATACTCTATTAATTGCAAGGCCATTCTCACAAGATGCTTAACCTAGGCAACTACACATTCAATTCCTTTAGCAATGGTTTTCATAGTACACACTTCTGACAAGAATTCTACTTGGGGAATACAGATACTCTATCTGTATATAGAATATACTCATTTTTTTCAGATATTATTGAATGCACCAGACTGTTGGCAAACTTCATGAACTTGCTAGAGTCTTCCCATTGTCCAGATACAGAGCAATAAGCTTGCTAGGGATCCAGTCAGGGTATAGGAGGTGTATTCTCTGCTGCTGTCTTCAGCAATGAATTCTGTAATCGAGAGGCTTGCTTTTTCAGCCGCTTTGTAAGTTTTCTTGGAAGACGAAATATAAAAAATGGGTCTGATGACTTGGTTTAGGTCAGGGATTGCCAACCTTTTGGACCTCAGGGACCACCAAACTCATCATTTTAAATTCCGCAGACCACAGACCCTGGGAATATCCCCAAAAAAGTCTGCAGAAAAATTTCCCACCCCATTTTTCTACCTCGATCATTCTTTGTTTGGGATCGCAGGATACCATCTCCAGCTCCGTTCTCCGGGAGAGAGAGACTTTTGGCTTCATGCAAGGAAAGCAGCAGAAGTCTTTCTCTCCCCCAAACTCCGCCAGAAATGAGTCTTTGTGAGACTTGTCACACTGGCGCAGCCTCTTGGAGCAGGATGCCTTGCAGAGTCCCAAAGACTTATCTCTGGCGGAGTTTGGGGGAGAGAAAGAAAGACTTGTGCTGCTTTCCTTGAGTGCAGCCAAAAGCAGAAGGAAGAAGCAGAAAGAAGCAGCCTGGCAAGTTCCCCCCATTTCCCCCCTCCCCTCACTATGTGTTGTTCGCAATGCGACACAAATCTTGTGTTCACACAGGCCATGTGGGTGGCACAGCCTTGTGTTAAGCCTGGATTAATTACTTTGGGGGGTGCTTTGGGGGTGACATTTCTCTGCGGACCACCAGTGGTCCCCGGCCCACTGGTTGGTGACCACTGGTTTAGGTATCATGACTGGGTGGAATTTGTGTAAGCTCCTGGATGATTAAGTGTGTTTGCAGAAATTTCTGACTGGGCCAACAGTTCCCCTTTTGAACTTCTACAACACAATAACCCTAAGTAGGTTATGGGAGGAGAACCTGTGTGTCTGTGTGTGTGTGTGTGTGTGTGTGTGTGTGTGTGAGAGAGAGAGAGAGAGAGAGAGAGAGAGAGAGAGAGAGATGAACTAGAGCATGAAATCTGGAAAGCATCTGGCAGTTCTTGGCATGTTATGCATAGAACTCTTGTGAGAATATTTTTTTTTTAAAATGTGGTCGTCTTATTTAAGGCAACAATCCACATTTGACTGTTTTTATTTTTGAGTCAATTGCTCCCCCATGGTCAGAAAAATAACACAAAAATCATTTTCTTCTTTAATTAGTAAATAGGAGAAATTGGAACACAAAATGTAATGAAGCACAATTTATTAAAATAAATTTATTTTTAAATAAAAAGGTTGTGGTTTCTTTTAATTATCTCTAGAGTAACCCTAGAATGCAAGTCTAAAAATAAAGAACAGAATGCATATTGGTAACAAGTTGTTATATTACCCCATTGCTTAATCTAAGCACAGAGTAATAGATTTTTCATGAAAATGCAAAAATATATTTGCAAATGCCTTTACCAAGAGATTTATTATTAACCGATCATAATATGTTCTTTCAGGACTGGAGGGTTTCCTCCCACACCAAATTTTTCACCATGTTGATTGATATATTATTTATTTTTCTACTACTTGTGGAGTACTAATGCCTCATCTTTCTAATCTTCAACCTACCCCATCCCCCCATTTGGTACATCCAAAGCTGTCAGCATAGCTGGAAGTCCTAAAAACCTAACCCTTTAAAGAATTAAAATAGAGACTATTGGTATGCCAAGCAATGTGCAAAACTTGTAAAATTCTGACTAGTTCAGACATGGAGAAGAATATGAGACATTTGTTAATAAGGCAATTTCTTGTGTTCCCAAACGTTCAGACCAAAGGCCCAACTAACTCAGCAGTTTTCTTCCAAAACTAGCAAATAATCACTAGTTATAGTCTTCTCTTTCATGATATTTTTTTTAAAATCCCGCAATTCAATACCCCTGGTTTACATATCAGTGCAATCAGATTGTATAAGTAAATGTGTATGGTAATATATGATATATACCTACATGCATACAACAGTGTTTGCTTACTTTCTTACTTGCTAGTGCAGATAAGCTTTCAGTGCAAACTATGCTAAGCAAAGCAAAAGTTCTAGTTTGAATTCTGCATCCTAAGTGCACAAATTGATTTGTAGAATACACTTTGCTACTGAGTTCATGTAAG